TCTCTCCCTCCCTCCCTCTTTCTTCCTGGAAAAGATGTGCATGCTTACTTTAAGGGAGGGGTAGGATGGTGAATGAAATGACAGTCTGACTTTTGCCCAATTTTTCATACCCTAGAGTCAGTTCAGGGAAGCTAATTGGTGAAGAGAATATGTGTAGGGTGACTTGTTATCACTTAAAATTATTCAACTTCATACCCATTATGTTGGTTATTATCAGAAAAATAGAAAATAAAAAGTGTTGGTCCAGACGTGAAGAAATTGGATCCCTTGCACATTGCTAGTGGTTGTGTAAAGTAGTACAGTCACTATGGAAAACAGTATAGTGGTTCCTTAAACATTAAACTTGGAATTACCATATGCTTCGGTAATTCCAGTTCTTGGTATATACCCAAAGAATTGAAAAAAGCAGGGACTTGAACAGATGTTTGTACACAAACATTCATAGCAGCATTACTCACAGTAGCCAAAAGGTGAAAACCACCCAAATGCCTATTGACAGATGAATGAATAAACAAATTCCGGTATATTCCTACAGTGGAATATTATTCAGCCTTAAAAAAGGAATGAAATTCTGCCTAGCCGGCATGGCTCAGCAGTTGAGCATTGATTGACCTAGGATCCAGGAGATCGAAGTTCAATTCCCAGTCAGGGCACATGCCCGGGTTGTGGGCTCCATCCCCAGTAAGGGGGCGTGTCATTGATGTTTCTCTCTCTCCCTCTCCCTTTTCAAGTCTCTCTGAAATCAATAAAGATTTTTTTTTTTTAAAAAGGCATGAAATTCTGACACATTTCAACATGCATGAATCTAGAAAACATTATGCTGAGTGAAATAAGCCACACACAAAAGAACAATTAATGTATGATTCCACGTATAGGAGGTACCTAAAGTAGTCAAACTCAGACAGAAAGTAGATTGGTCAGTGCCAGGGCCTGCTGCGGCTGGGAGGTGAGGTGGGAGGGGGCCGTTGTTTAATGTATACAGGATTTCAGCTGGGGAAGATGGAAAAAGTTTTGGAGATGATGGTGGTGATGGATGTACAACAATGTGAAGGTGCTTAATGCCACTGATCTGTATACTTAAAAACGGTTAAAATGATAAATTTTACATTCTGCATATTTAACCACAACAAAAATTGTGCAAAAAATTATTCAACACCTGCAAAATTCTATCACTCTATCATTATAGGGAACGGACTATGACATTTGCTTTTAGTAAGACAACGGCTGTATCAGAGGAAGCTTCCAAAGCTGTTTGAATCCAGAAAAGGAAATCTCTTTACTAGGAAGCTGGAAAACACGTGGGTATGAGTGAACAGTCATGTTTCAAATGTTTACCTTTTCCTCATGAATACATACCCTGAATACTAAACAAAGGAAAAATTTTCAAGGTTGTGCTCTCACCATCACAAACTGCTGAGCACATATTCAGGGTTCCTGGTGGAGCAGCCAGCCACTGGCTGGAGGAGCAGCTGGTTGGAGGGACTAGAGTCAGCAGAAGGGACAGGATCCAGGGGTCTCCTGCACACACACATCACTTAGGGGACATCTATACTGGTCAGGGCTCTGATTTCTTTGAGTAAAGTCCTTACGCAAATCTTCAAACAAAGCCATTAAAAATGAAAACACACCAGACAAACACCTGGTGATTTAATATAGCAAAGGAAACCTTTTAAAGTGAGTTTTAATATGTTGCAGCCAACCAAGTGTCTAAATTCTGGACTATGGGAAATTTGTATTCATGTTTAACAAGTTTACTTTGTGAAAATATTCCTCTGCAAAATGTGAAACGTTAATTTGTTGTAATGATGGAGAAAGAATTATAATAGCACTTGAAAAATTTAAGCCGGATTTCCTCTGTATTTTTAATTTCAAACATCATTTTGTAATAAGCATGTATGCTAACAGATCTTTAATTATTTCCTCTGCCTGGGGCTTTCCCAGAGGCTCTCTTCCCCACACCCTTCCTTTGGGTACTCAGGAGGCCTCCTTTCCTTCAGGCAACTCTTGGTCTTGACTTCTAGGTTGTTTGGTGCTTCTACCCAGTGTTCCCACAGAACCCTGTACTACTCCCTCGTTGTATTTAGACTTTACTATAAATGTGTGTTTGATGGACCATCCTCCACTCCCTACCAGAGTATCTGCCCCACAGGATGGGAGACTGCTGAAGCATCAGCCAGGCTCTGGAACAGTGCCTTGCACAGAACAGGCCCCCGGCCCCCAATAAGTGAACCCTTGATGAAGATATTTATTAGCAAGGAAAGATGTTCTTGATGTTCTGCTAGCTGTAAAAAGTGGGTTACAGGCCAGGGTGAACAAGTCCATTTTTATATAATGTATAAATGCATTTTAACATTTTTCTACACTGAATAAGTATCATCTGTATAATTACAAAAGTTACTAAACACAAGGAGAAATGACTAACAATAAAATCATTACCAGTGACATCTATTAATTGCATCAGTTCAAAAACAAGCGAACTTTTCCTTAAAACAAACTCAGGGTCACTAGAACATTAAAAGCATTTGGTAAATATACTCACTTTGGGGGAAAAGAAAAAATTCCATTTGTTCTAATCAATTAACTCCTCTCATCCAGCCGTCCAACATCTCTACCACCTCCATTAAACCAACTTTTGGGAAAGAACCTGTTAAACTCATTCAACTGAGGGGTTTGTGGTATAAGGCTAATTTAAGTTGCTTTACTGCTTGGAGATGCTGCACGAGAGAACCTGAAGGAACTTGGGGAAATAGGGGCTGAGTGGACGGGCGCGAGGGGCAGGCACTAGGGGCCACCCCGCAGTCTCACCCTCTAGGCCACAGCCCCCAGGCTTCGCGGCGTGCAGGGTCAGAGCTGGATCTCGTGAGCACAAGTGAAAGCCATCGCTGGTTGGGACGGTGAGTACTCGGTGTCCCCTGCCCCGGGTTACCGAGCGCTCCGCCAGGGTCCACCACCAACCCACCTGGTCAGCTCCCCCGGGGCTCGCACGGCCACGCGGCCCTCAATAGGACCTGGACTGCGACTGAGGTGGCCAGCCTTGACCTACCCGCGGGGGGCCGCGAGAGATCCGCGGAGACCGGATTTCCGGACGAAAACCACTTGGGAAGGCGCGGGACCCG